ACGGACAACTTAGGCTGCTTTCCCTTCATATCTTTTCTTTCTTTTTTTTTTAAACATGAGTCCCACAATACTGGTACATTTTATTTCCATTTTTATTTTAAATTCCTAGTCTTACCATATTTTAATACTGTGGCCATATTACTGTAATTTTTTTAAAAATCATATGCAAAAAAAGGATTCTTTTAGAATGGAAAATAGTCTCTGCCCCAAATTTGCTTTCTCGAACAGTCAACAGGTCCAAGAATCTCCCGCGCCTAACTTCATTCTGTTGTTTAATTTTGGATTTTGTTTTGTTGGTTGGCTCTGGAAATTGAACCCTATATGTCCCGCTTGCTTAAGTGCGCGCTCTACCACGGAGTTAACCCCAGCCCCTGAAGTTAGTTTTCAACAGACCCCTGGCCTTCGTGGGGAGACCTCTGGGGCCCCAGTTTGGGAACAGCCACCGTGTGGCGAGATGCTGGAACTAGCACCTTCTGATTGGGTAGGAACTGGGGCCCTTTCCGGCTCCAGACCGAGCGCATGGAGCTGGCCCGCGCCTCGACTCTTCCCAGAACGCGCGCGCCCCCTGGCGGCCCGAGCCGATAACTCGGAGCCTCGATGGCCGGGCGATTCCGGGACCCCATCCTGCCCAGTGTTGGAGGCTCTCGGAGCCGCTTGGTAACCTGGTCTAAAATAACCTCAGGCAGCTCGGGGCGAGCCTCCCTAAACTCAGGCCACGCCGGCCACTTGCGCCATGCCACTTGCGTGTTCTCTGGGGCCCACTCCGGAGGTGATACTGTGTCCCAGCATCCGAAGCGCCATAACTTACAGGTCTCAGCCTTTTCCTGGGCCAGGAGCCTTGGCAGGCAATAACAGCAGCGAGCCCCGTACCTGCATTTCAGAGAGCCGCCGAGCGAGCGCCCCTTCCTGGCCCCCAGATCCCGCGCACAAGGGGGCCGAGCCCCGGGAAGGGGAAGAACTTGTAATCGCTTGCAGCGGGACAATGCCGACTTTTGAACCTCTAACCACTAAGCAAACAACCCTTGTGCTCTAGCTCCACTGTCCAAACAAGGTTTATTGACAGGCGTTTCACGGCAACGCTTAGCAACGGCTGCCGTCGCGGAGCACAGGCGTGTGGGCGCGGTCAGGGCGCGGGGCTGCTTTCCCTCCCTGCGCCTGGAGACTCGGGGTGAGTGGGGATCGCCCTGGCCCGGAACTGGTACCTGTAGCCCAGCGGGCGCCCACGCAATCTCCGTAACAGCCCCCTCCCCCTGTCTCCGACTCCAAGGCCTGGCGCCCGCAGGCTCTGCCCCTAGAGCCCTTTTCTCAGTCCTGGAGCGGAATGCGCCACCCGGAAGGGCTACGAAATTAGGGAGGTTCTGCAGGGGCCATTTATGCCTCCTTCTGTCTCCCAGCTGGGCTCAGCCTTTCCTTTGAAAGCAATGCTTGAGGCGCTGCTTCCCTCGGTGGAGATTGAAATGGGGAGGAAAGCTCTCCTTTCCCTGGCCCAGTCGAGCGCCCAGTTCCTTGGCCCCCAGCGGATCAACCAGATAATAAGCAACTAGCACTGCAAGGATCTTGTCTGTGGTGGGTGGGATGGGGATGGGATAAGGACACCACGGGATAGGGGAAAGAGCTTAAGGAAATGCCCAGTGATTCATTCATGGAAATGTTGCCTGGGAAATGGTTATGTTTAATTCGCTGGGTTGTGGGGCATCCATAGGAAGGAAGGGGGTCACTGATGGGGGTGGGGTGCCTAGTGTTTGCATTGCCTGGGTATGGATTTGATGAGATGCTGAGACAGAGGAGGCCCTCTCAGCCCTACCCGCCCCCCACCCATAATTCCGCAGCAGCTGGGAAGCAGCTGACCATTCAGATGTGCATTTTGCCCAAAGGCACCCCCAGGAGAACCACACATTCCACTCTCCAAGGCTGGACTCAGGCTTGGGGGCAGGGAAGGTCTCAGTACCTTCACCCTCAGGTTTCTGACGCTCCGGGGTAAAGAGAGGTTGCCCAGATAACCTTCTCCACCCTCTCCCTGATTTTTTTTTTTAACTTTTGGCTTGCAACAGATAAGGTATTTCATTTCTTAGAAAACAATAATTTCATCCAATTCTAAAGAAAATCAATTACAAAATCTGAAATCTGAAAAGTTCATTTATCTTTTTTTTTTTTTCCTTTTTAGAAAACTTCAGCTGTGTTCAGATACCCCCTTCCCTTCACCATATCACTTCTCTCCCCATGGATCCAGAAGGCTTTTAAAAGGCTGACTTGGATGTTACACAGACCAACAACCCAAACAACAGCAACAACAACAACAACAAAACTCCCCTTCTTCATCAGCCCCAAGATTGTGAAAATGACAGGAAGTCCAGGTTGGCTCTGGCATTTATAGCACTGACATACATTCAGCCCAGAGAAGCTCTGGTGACAGGCTTTCTAAACAAGGCCCTGGGCAGGGCCTCCCACATTATGCCTGGAGTCCACTCCCCACCACCCCCCCCCCCCCACACACACACACCACACACTCACACGCACCAGCTAAGCCTTTCCTGGTCTGGGAAGGGAGGAGAAGAAAGACACAGACCACCTGGGGGTTCTGCAGTCTTTGGTCAGTCCAGCTTTCTATCTTAGCTGCCTCTGGCTTCTGCAGTATAAATTGTGCCTGCCCCTGAGGCAGGAGGGCCAGCTGGTTCTTGGAAGGCATTGAGCAGGAAATAGCCATCTTGGCTCCAAGTGTTGCTGGTCCCCTCTCTCCCCTCAGCTCCAATAAGAGAGGCAGCCCACAGATTCTGGAGGCAAGGCGCTGGGACAGAAAGGACTGAAGGCTTGGTCACTGTAGCCAGTCCAGGCAATACTTCTGTCAGTACCAAGTGAAGCCTCAGTGATCATTTCCTATATCCTCACTGACAAAAAGTCAGAGGGGAAAAAGTAAGAAATCGGGAAGATGTCTTCCTTGAGGCCCCCCAATCCCATTTGTCTTTACTCTTGGCTCCCAATTTTCCTCTGAGAGCTAGATTTGTAGGTTATGTTTGTAGGTGGGAAGGAAGGGGTCTCTTCTGAGGATGCTAGCGGAGTCCATGCGCCTCCTGGCTCAGCCTGGAATTGCTCTGGGGCCACCGCAGACCACTGGGGTCACTGGGTGACAGTGGGGTTTAACACCCCCCCAGCTGGCCCCAGAACCCCAGGGACAGGGCCAGGCACTGAGCCTTGGAGGGAAGACACAGGACTCAAGGGCTCCGGGACACTTCTCAGAGGTCCCGGCTGTGGCTGGGGAGGCTGTTGGGGAGGCGGCTGGGGCTGCTGCTGCTGCTGTTGCTGTAACTTCTTCTTGTTGATTTTCCTTTCCTTTGCTCTGCGATTCTGAAACCAAATTTTAACCTAGGTGGAGCAAAAAAGAAGATGTGAAGGAAAAGAGGAACTGGACACTAATATCTTCCTCTCCAATGAAGGAGCCCCAGACTCTTCTAGAAGTTTCATTGGATATCTCCCTAACAGTTCAACCCTGGAGCCATTTCCACACCCAACTCAGCCTCAAGAGAAGAGTCCTCCTCCTTTCTTGCTCCCCATGTTTCTTTCCAAAGGAATCTTTACTGGTAAAGTATAGAGTCCCCAAACCAAGGAAAACAGAAACTTGCTACAAGTCCTTCCCTATACAAGCACAAGGAGGCCGGTGCTGGGTATACTTCACATGACAACCTTTGCCTTTTATAGCTAAACTGAACTGTAATATTCCTCACCTTGGAGCTGAAAATGAAATTTAATGTGGAGTTTCCTGGCTATGAGTTTGGCCTGCTTTTTGTTTTGTTTCGCTTTGCTTTGTAGACTATAGAGAGTGTTCATAAGTCAATCCCTCTAGTTTTTATGAGCAGAGACTGGGCTCTTTATTTTTTTTTCTAATTCTGGGCACACACACAAAAAAAACTGGTCTTTGATAGATCTTGATTGCCCAACTGGAATTCAAGATTAAAGTAATGTTCTTGGCTTTTTCTTGCACCTCTCAGGAGCTCTCAAAATAGAAAAAAAAATTCAACCACATTAGAAAATATAGCCAGAGGTAGAAGGAAACCTTTAAGAAAAGCATTCAAAATGCAAATGCCCTTTTATCCCACAGAACTTAGTGGACACTTGGCCAGGCTAATTCTCTCTCGAGGTCTCCCCCAAGCAGCAGCCAGGCCTGCAAGAACAGGGTGATTCCCACCTGTCTCTCAGAGAGCCCCAGTGTGGCAGCCAGCTCGGCTTTCCTCCGAATGGTGATGTAGCGACTGTAGTGAAACTCCTTCTCCAGCTCCAGCCGCTGGTGGTCCGTGTACACCACTCGGTATTTGTCTTTCGTCCTGGTTTTCACTGTGCAGGAAGGAGAAGTTAGGGCTGAGAACCACAAAGCAGCTCATCAGTCATAGGTAATGACAAACCTCCCTAACCCGGGGGCCATTTCTCTTCCTCCACCGCCCTGGGAGGCCGAGGGTTTGGCTGGTTCCTGCCAAGTCTGACAAGGCACCCCCACCCCAGAGGATCCTGGGGGAAAGGGAGTGTGTGAGGCTAGCAGGGCAACTAAACTAACCTTGGGGTTAAGTGGTTTTTAAAAATTAAGAAAAACTAAAACTTCACATACAGAGAAGATAGCAGAACCCAGCCCAGCTTACCATTTTGAAAAACCAAATATAGTACTAGAATAAATTTAGCACCAAAGGAAGGTGGGGGGAGTGGCCAGACTCTAGGAATATCCAGATTATCAGACCTACCAGAGACCAGCATCCCATCTGGAAACAGTTGGGGTTCTATGTGTTGTGGAATAAGGGTTAGTATGTTTTACTACAAATGGAAAGAGGGGTGCAGGAGCTGACAGTTTCCTTCAAGTCATCAGAATCATCTTGCAGACATATCAGATCTTCCAAACAAATTCTGAGTTGGGCTCTGGCAGTAACCTATGCTGGCGGGTGGATCATTGCTCCAGCTGGGGATAATATACCTGCTGGAACCAGGTCTAGCCTTGGGTAGTTTTTCTTTTTTAATCCTCCATTTATTCCTACTGCAAACCCCACTAGAGCTATTCTGACCAGTGATCTATGATCATTGGATTGAGTCAACATATTAAATCTTGGGTTGATTGTTTTACTGGAGGGCCTTGACAAATAGTGTCGCTGCTGTGGGAGCAGGCCCGAGCCTGGCGTCTCCATTGAGTCTGTCCTGGGTCGGCTCTTGTCCCATCCCTGGCCAGGAGCTGTTTTTTCTCTGACTGGGTCCCAGGTCGGGGTGGTCTTGCAGCTGAACAGGTTCAATCGCCCAGTGCCCAGTCGTACAGGAAGATCTAAAGGGTCTGGGAGTTGCCTTTGGAGGTGTTTAATACCCCACAGGCCGACTTTGTTCAGGTAAAACCCTTTGCAAACCACAACAAAAGCGCCCTGGGAAGATACAGGCGGGATCAGAGGGAGCTCCCCCAGCCGCTGAAAGGGGAACACAGCCACAAACAATGCAGGACAAGGCGATCTTATCAAAGAAAAGCCCTTTCAATGCCTTAATAACAACCGCATTCTGTTTGAATTACCACTACTGAGCAAATGGCGGCCAGCTTTCATCCCCCTCCCCGCCAGGCGTATTAACATAAACACTGCCCGGCAGGCGCATTTGAATGGGCGCTGGGAGCCCGACCCCGCGCCTGCTAAGGGAACTAACACGTCCCGGGCGCCGGGAGCCTCGTACGTGGTGGGAGCATTCACACGCATTACCTACCGCCTGAAACCCAGGGCTTCCGCCCTTGGTACAATCCCTTTGCTCAGAGGAGGAAAGAGAATCAGACTAGATAAGGCACAGATAAGACAGGGCTGGTACTGGAGCCCGCTTAGAAAATAAAGGACACGTCAGGCCTGGGGAGCCGGGCACAGGATATTTCCCCCAGCCGAACACCCCAGGAGCGATACTCGCCTTGGGGTGCCTCGGAGTGGCCTTTGTTCGGGTGCTGCCCTTTCAGTGTCCGGGGCGGGCGGGGGAACGCGGTGACCAGGACCTGGTGTGCTCTGAGGCCCGCGCCCCAAGAGCCTTGGAGGCGCCCCGCACCCCCTGGGAACCAAGGAGGGGGGCTGAAAAGGGGGAGGGATGAGAGGGACTTGTCAGAATTCATTATTGACTGCGAAAGTCACCACCCTCTTTCCGGGCCCTAAAAGAGACAATGGCAGGGCTGGGAAGGTGTATATCAAAGCCGGCCGGGCCGCGTACCCACCCCCCTCCGCCCCTTGACAGATGACGCTCCGCAGAGGAGTCGGGCTTCGGCCCGGGGCCGCAGCCTCCCCACATTAACATCACAAGGGCGCCCGGCGCCGACCGCGGCCTTGCCACCTCCGCGCAGGACTTCACAGCGGCCTCTCATCTGCTGACCCCGCGGCCTGGGCTCCTGCGGCTTTCCCTCCCCACCCCCGCATCCGACCCTGGCCCCACCGCCACTCTGCCCCGACACGCACCGGGTCTTCTTAGACCGCAGGTGACCCTAGCCAACTGCACCCCTAGCAGGCTCCGTAGGAAGAGGGTTTGGGGAAGCGCGGGTCTGAGATGAGCCGGTGCTAGGACAAGGGCGCCTCCTCTTGGGGAAAGGACAACACCAAGGCTCTGAAGCCCACCCAAAGCTGATCTCACTCCGCGGCATTTCCCAACCGGGCGCTCCCAGCGTGCGCACAGTGACGCAGAAGTCGATGTTCAAAGACAGCCCCCAACGGGCGCTCTGATTTATACGGTTGTAATTGGCTATAAACCTCTGCAAAGTGGCCATAACCTGCAATGCGGGCCAACTGGGCCAACAAGAAGGGAAGCGGGAAAAGCGGAAGCGCTCAGAGCTGGGGAAGACTTCACCGCGTAAAGAGACTCCAATAAGACCCCCCCATCGCTCCTATTCTCACTTCCTTCCCTCTCCACACACATTCCAAAATCCTGGCAAACGTAGGGTCTTTGAGGGAACTTCTCTTGAGTCTTGAAGAGAAACACACACACACACACACACACACACACACACACACACACACAACATCCTTGAAAGGTTCAGGAAGAATGACCCTTGTCTGGGGCAGCGGTTGAATCGCACCAGCATTTTCTCCCCCTTTTCTTGCTCTTTCCGCAGACACAAGAGGACTCCCGCAGGTTCTTTCTTGAATAATCCCTTTGTAGACCAAAGGTTCAGGGACCTGGGCGCGCCAGGTCAGCACCTTCTTCCGGCGACAGCAGCTTTCTCGGTCCCTCTGCTCTCTGTAGCTCCAACCCCTCGAATTGGCCTAAATGGCCAAACGTGGCCCCACATGCAGCCTCGCCGCCCTTTCTTTCCACCCGCCTCTCTTTTGGGGTGGCTTGGATGGGGGAGAACGGCACGGGGAGAGATTGTGTAGATACAGCCCGCGGGGAGTCCAAAGCTCCTTCTCGGCGGCCAGGAGCTGCTCAAGGAGTGCAGGAGCAGCAAGTGAGCGATGTCTTGCTCACGCCAACATTCGCGGGATCTTCCCAAAGGTGTCCCGCGGTTGTGAATGAGGAATTCTTGGAAAGAGGAAGCCTTTCTTCTGCCCTAAATTGAACCCAGGGTGGTGAGACCCCCAAATATCCATTCCCAGGAGCAGCAGCCAGTGAAGCCCCCGGAGCCTCCCTGAACTTGTTCCCTCTCCCTGTCCGGGCCCTAAGCTCCCAGATAGCCTGGGATGCCTCTGTGAGCCCTGGTCGCACGGCCCTCCCAGCGGCCGTCGCTGGGCGCGCGCCTTCCCAGGGCCCTTGGGTAGGGCGCCGCCACAGCTTACCTTGGCTTCCGAGGGACGGCTGCGCTGGCTTCCGCATCCACTCGCACAGGTTTCTCCGCTGGCCGCCCGGGGACAGCTGCTCCGCAGCGGCTGTGGCGGCGGGCCCGGGAGGGCCCGGATTAAGCGTCTGCAGCAACCCCGAGGCGCAGGAAGGCGCGGCGGCAGGGTGGTGCGGGTGGTGATGCGGGTGATGGTGCGGGTGGTAGTCGGCAGGGCTACTGTAGCCCATAGCGGCGGCCGGGGAGCCCCCGTTGAGGCCGTGGGCAACCGCGTTAGCTGCAGCCGCTGCGCCTCCTGGCGCGTAGCCGTTCCAGTCCTCTCGTAGCGGGGCACCGTATGCTGCCGGCCAGGACGGCCCCGGGGACTGAGCGCTGTCCAAGTTCGCGGCTGCAGCGGCCGCGGCCGCCACGTGGTAACCACCATAGTCCGGGTACTGCGGGGGGCTGACGAAGTTCTGCGGTGCCAGGTTGAGGCCACCAGAGTGGCGCACGGAGCTGGGGTACATGCTCACGTCCTTGTCCAGAAGGTAGCTCACGTACATGGTGGCGAGGGCCTGAGAGCAGACCTCACCATACTGCCTAGGGAGGAACGCTGAAGGTTGCCGGGGGTGGGGGTGGAAGGGGCGATAGGGAAAGGGTGTGGGGGCAAGAGAAACCTCGGGTGGCTGCGCCCCAGCCGCGCAGTGCTCCACTGGCTCCTCGCGGCGCTTCTGCCTCTGAGGCGGTCCTTCCCTTTGGCCTGCCTCCTCCCTTCCTCTCTTTTTCCTTCTTTCCTCCCACCTCCTTCCCACTAGGCAGCAGAGGCGGGGAAGACCCGCCACAGGCTGGCGTGCGGAGCCCCAGGCCGGCGGCCTTACGTGATTAACGAGTGTTTACAAGACTCTGTTAGTAATGACACAGACACCAATGGCTGGAGACGTCGAGGCGCAACGCTCATTCTGCGCACAACCCCCCCAAACCCGATTTGCATTTTAAAAGATAAGGGGCGGGGGAACTCGCAAGAGAGCAGCGACCTGATCACAGCTAAATATTCAAACCTTTATTGTTGAGAGCTTCCTCCTTCCAACCTGGCGCACTTTAACCTCCAATCACAGGTTCAAAGAATGAAATCAAGAGACTTGCCAAAGCCAGGGGGAGAGAAAGAGCTATCTTGTGGGAATCTGGGTTTACAGACAGGAGCAGTCTTGTTTATGCATTCGCCAGGAAGAGGGCGATCAAGAAACTCCTGTCCCAAAAAGAAAAGAAAAAAATAAAAAGCCATTGCTTTGATGAGAACATTTCTGACCAACCAATGGGATGAGGAGCGGAGCCCTAAAAGAAGGGCCGATTCCTTCTCGCCCTGCGCCCCTGGCCTGGATAGCTGCTGCCCCAAGCAACTATCACTGCTAATTATTTATTTTCTTACCAAATGAAGTTGCTCGCCCTCCACAGAAGATAAATTAGGCTGCGTCTTCGAACTCATCTTACGTTTTGGATTTGAATTGTTAAAGCATTTCATTAAAACAATATTCAAGAATCAAACGTCTTAACTTAAACCAATGAGCCTGTGGTAGAAGTTTGGCTAGTGTTTGCCTTGGAGGGCAGTAATTGGAGGGAAATCTGGAGGGGGAGGCCAGCGTGTTGGTAACTTTCTATTTCTTGAACAAAGTACTGATTTCATGGTGTGTAGGTTTTGTGAAAATTCAGCGACGTACACTCATATGTTTATTATTTTAAAGTAAGTGGCTAAAAATCAAGGGAAAAAGGAGTCCAGAGTTTCTGCTAATACATACCTTTGTATTTGTGTCTTACATCATATCTGTCTTAAAAATCCTTTCCCCTTTACAAAGTAAAACATTCTGTTTCTCATCTCCAGGGAATGGGAAGGCAACCCAGGGCCGTTATTAGTTATTGCTAATGAAAAGCTCCGAGGGCACAAAGGCTGAGAAGGAATTCCTCTTCAATTAGGGAGCACTGTGGCCAGAGGGCCCAGATCTGGAAATGGCCATTTGGGGACAGGAGTGTTGAGGTCAGGATCAGGAACTAATGAGACAGGAGTACAGAGGTAGCAGGAATAGGCTTCCACCCATTTCCATCTCCATTTTAGCAATAATTTGGAGAGCACCATTGGTGGTCATTTGCCTCCTCTCTGAGAATTAGCTTTGCTGCAAGGCTTGGGTATAAGGACAAAGCGAGGCAGCTGACTGCCCAGTGTTGCGTTCCAGTGTTGCGTTCCCTGGGAACCCAAGTAGGCTGCCGGCTCTTGTTCCTGAACACCTGCAATTGTTGGTTCTCTCAGATATTTGTCACTATTCCCTTCATCTCTAGAGCACTTTCCAGTGTCCTTTATCTTCCTTGATTCTCACATCTCCCGCGATCAGGGACAAAGCTGGTGTCATTACCCTCCTCATTCAGGTGACAATCACCAAGCCATCTAGTTAAGAGACCAAAGCACTATTAGAACTAGCCTAGGGGTGCAGGAACCTGTGCTTTCTGGTTCCTCCAGTGTTTTTGAGTTTTGTCAGGAAGAAGGTTAAAAGTGGGGGTGTCAAGGTTATGCAGGAGTCAGGTGCTGTATTCCCATGAGGTAGGAGCTGCCACTTGGTCCTCCTGGAGGACTTCCCCAAAGCCTGACTGGGACAACCAAGTGCCATTTGACTTCACAAGAAATAAAGTCAGAATTAAATTGCAAACCCCATTACAGAAACCTAATCCAGGCAAAGACAGAAAGGGATGTTTTCACAGTCCTGATGGGGCAGGAATGTGGGAGGTTAAGTGGTGGGCACTGCAGACTTTTGATCTAGTAAAGATCTTCCTCCTCTTCCTGGGTACAATTCCCCTTTCCGTCCCTCTTGACCCCCTCCCAGGCTTGAGCTCTGGAAGCCCAGGCTGAGGCAAGTCTGTATCTTCGGAATGTTGGCATTCTTTGGAACAATCGCTTTATTAGGGACAGCCATTCCCTGGGCCCTGTGGTGGCCGCTTCCTGAGTTTTTATGACCTCGGCCGCCGGCTGCTGGCTAATTGTCCTCATTTTCCAGCTGTGTCTCTGTGCTCTGCCCCGGAGAAAGGGCTCCAGCCTGTGCACCCAACTGGTTTGGGAGCAGCTAGGGTTGCTCTGGCTCTAGTGGGTCAACTTGGGATCACAGAGCTGGAGAAGCCACAGAGAAACCTAAGATTTAGAGTGCTTGAGCCCAAGAAAGGCAACCATGATGAAAACCAATACTTTCATTCATGGCCAAAAAAAAAAAAAAGGCTTCTCTGGCATTAACATGATCCTGCCTACAATCCTAAGGTCTGGATTGTTTGGTGAGGGGAAAGGAGATGGTAAATGATGTCTTTGATAATCTCCTCTGAGTGAAAGTGTTCCCCCAATATTCGTGTTCCCCTCTTTGCCAAGAGGGCCCAGCTGGGTCCCCTGAAGAAACAGGGTTGTAGAATCAGTTCTGGCATCTATAGAAGTTGGCAGATGATAAAGAAGCCTGGGTGTCTTATATATACACAACCCCAGCAGGTTAGCAAGTTGGGGGTTCTTGCCTGTCCTCTAGAGGCCCACTCTAGACTGGGGCAGTTCTCCAGCCTCGGAATGCAGGCCTATGGCCCTGGTGAATACAGGGCCACCTGCATTATGATCCTATTCTAGACTTTCTTATTTGGGGGTCCAAAGTGCTCGGCAACTTCTTAAGAGCTCTCTGGCCTAGGTGAGAATACCCAAGAAGGGACTGGGAAGGGCCTTCCCAACCCTACTCCTGTAGTTGGAGACTCCCTTCCATTCTGTATCTCTCTATCATCCATCCAATGTGGGGTCAAAGAAGCCTGCGGCAATCACTCTGCAGAAGGTGAACTTGTTCAGGAAGCTTGGGGCTGGAATTGGGCTGGGGCTGAGGCTGCAAGCACACAGAGCCACAGCCAGAGCTGACTTCTAAGGGCAAGAGAGGGTGGGAAGAAAGAGATCCAGGTAAATAAAGCAACTGGAAGATGGGTAGGGCAGCCCCACCAGGTTATCAAAGGGATGTCTTTTTTTCTTTTTTTTCCTCTAATGATATAGAGGCCATTTCACATTCCTTGAAGAGGAACCCAGCTTCTAGGATCCCCGCTGGAAGGGGCTCCAGAGGGGGATGGGGAGCAGGAAGCTGCCGGAAGGGGCGGGTTGCCCTACCAGGCAGATGAGACACTCCTTAAATCCACAGATCATTGACACAGCTCCCTCCCTGCTCAAAGGTCCCCAGTGTTTGCTCCTGCTAAGGGGATCCTGCTCTGCCCAGTATTTGTAGCTCCTAGAGACTGGGAAGCCCAATGGCCCACATAATCCTAATAGGGCAGGCCGTTTGAATTCACCTCAGCACACAAGTCTACTTTCTGAATCCCTTTTAGATCAAGGAAATTATTCATAGAATGAAGCCCTTCCAAAACTCCTCTTCTTCCCACACTAGGAACCTTCTCCCCATATTGACCTGAATTCCCAGGAGAATTTAGAAAGAGTGAGAAGGAAGAGAATGTATTCTGGTGAAATTATTCAGTTGGGCAGTCTATAGTGCTATGGGAAAAAAAATAACCTGTTCAATCTCTACTTAATTGTGAGTTTAGGGAGACTTTCAGCCATTTCATTCAATCAACAATCACTCACACAAAGAAAGACTTAATAATGGACGATTTGACCCCCAACAACCCCACCCTGCCCTGTCACAGCCCACTCAGCTAACATCTCAGGGAAGGAAATCAATAACAGTGTCCTTTCTGTAGGGCCTCCCCAGAGTCCACCACCTGTCCAGCCCCATCAGGCCACAATGGAGCCAAACACGTTCATCCTGAACAGAAGGGAGGGGCCGCAGCTGCCCACAGCTGCCTGGGCTTCACTCACAGGAGCAGATGTGGCCCTCACCCTACAGAGTGAAGACTATTTTCTTGCTAAGCATTCTGGGTGCCTGGTTCTGTCTACCTGAGGAAAAGTTCCTGAATTCATGTGAGGTCATTGTAGACTACAGTTGTATCGCATCTAAGCAAGATCACAGGAGGACACAGAGCTGTATCACACTTCTCTTTGAGGGATTACTAAGTTTTCTGATTATTGACAGGGAATACATGTTTCCCCCTGCTTCTCTGTTAAAAATATATTCTCATGGTCAGAGGATCAAAAGAAAATAAAAAGCTTCAAGAGAGGGGGTAATAGTTGGATACAGAAATTTGGTTTTGCTCATTGAGTATAAGTTATTCAAATAACTAGTAGTTGCCCATTTTCTTCCTTTGTTCTGAAATTAGGGTCTGTGGACATTGTACAATTGTATAATACACTGTCATCCTGTCTGGTAGATGAACACAGAGAAAGATTTAAATCCCTGATACAGAGGGCCTTGTGCGGGGGCGGGGAGTCTTATAGATTGGTGCCCCCTAGGGACCCCAGGCTTCCATCCCAACAGAACTGATTGATGCTGGAGAGAACCAGCATCTCTCCAGGTCTGCTTCAGCCAAATGTTACCACCTGGCTTTGGCATGGAGGGCCTTCAATTAGCATTTGTTCACTCACCATTGTCTCATGCCCGAATGACCTTTGTTTATCATATGAAAATTTGTTCCCAGGAAGCTCTACAGGGTAAGTTTTATGTGACTGGTGAGGAAAGAAGCTCAGATAAATGTTCCACTCTTCTTGATTGACTAGGCCCATTGACAAGCTGCTTTCTCTAGGAGAGTCAGGGTCTTAAGTCTGTGTAACTCTTCTATTTTAAAAAGGAGAATCTGCAGCCCAGAGAGGTTAGGTGATTTTCCAAAGGTCTCATAGCTTTACAAGTCCCTAAGCTTAAATGAGCTAGTAATATGTGTTCTTTGCTACCCACAGCAGTCTGTACAGATGTTAATTATTACTATGGCTACTGATGCCACCCTGCAAACATATTCCCAATACAAAACCAACCAGCATGATTCAGGGAATCCGAACTCTCCACCCTACCCTATCCCCTACACAGAATAGTACTAGAACAATAAGGTTCTGAAGTTATAATTCTGACCACTTCCCTAATACTACTTATTTCTTTCACAGGCACCTGCTAACTGAAGTTTATTAGTTTTTTGAATGGTGAATTTTCCATAAATTCTGTCCCAGATTTTCTCCAATAGTCAAAGAAGGTCTCCATCTACTATTTGTATCACAGTAAACATTTCCTGGCTGGGGGGAGTCTTTATTATTAAATAAAAATCGATATCCTATAGCTGTTCTCTGGACTCATGTCTAATTTAAAACGAGTAAATGTTATGTGTAGAATGTGAGTGTTGCCTGTCCCCGCTTCCTTTCTGCCTACATCGGCGCCTGTAGACCCCCTATGGCGTACAGACCAAGAAGTCCACCACTTCAGATACATTCTTTAAAAGGCCCCAGTTACAGAGGTGAGTGAGTAACTAGGATTTGGCTCTGAATTCCTAGCCTAAGCTGCTCTCTCAGGTCGTTTGTTTGTTTGTTTTGTTTTGTTTTTTGCGCAGCATTTGCCTGCGGGGCTTGATATTTTAAAGGGACGTGAAAATTGGTGAAACCGCCCCCACCTCTTAAGAGTGTGTGCATGGATGGGTTGTCTGATTACAAAAATTGAAATCAGATCTTCGCCCTCCAACTCTTCTTAGAACCTTGCCATCAAGGTTCTTTTCGTTTTGTTTTTAACGAATTAATAAGCAAGATGTTAATTGTTCATCCTGGAGCCTGCACCAATTATTTCTGCCCCTGACGATTGCTGAGCGCGCCCCAGAGCTGTCTCTTCACTGAGCAACCAGGGCTGGCGAGCCAGCGCGCTTGGATCCAAGTTGGTGGCCCAGTCCCATCAGCCTGCATTTGTCTCCCGTATCCTGCGCACCAGAGAGAGGAAAGCGTCTGTGCCAAGGGAAGGGCTGCAGAAGCACAGGGCGTTTGAGCCAAGATATGCCCCCACCCCCAAAACTGCCCTGCCATACTTCGGCAGTCTCAGATGACTCGGAAACGGCCTCAGCCTCTTGCTGCTCAGAAAGGGGAAAGTAAGAGACATTAACAATGGCTTTTGCCGCAGCCCTTTCTTGCCCGACGCCCACATCACGGCTGCCAGCACTCAGGTGTATTTGGAAGAGGCTTGGTGCAGTCAGCATTCGTCCCATAACCCCCATCTCCTACGAAAAAGACAGATCCAGCGTTTGCCTCCACCCATACCATTTTTCCGCGGGAATAAACAATTTCCCGGGCAACATTTTAACTGTTGAAATGTAATAGTGTAACTGGAGACAGCGGGTCGTGCCTGAGAAGTTCAGGTCACACTGGCTAAAAATAGCGCTGGGGGAATCTTGCCCGGGTGGATTCTTCGCATCTTGGGTTGAGCACATTTACATAAAGAGAGTGGACTCTGCATTTTAGGGCTTTGGATTCACCTCAGGGCTGGGCGGAGTGCTTGGACTACAGTGGGTTATTCTGAATCTCAGGCCCAGCCTCTGGTATTTGGATCCTGGTTCAAAAAAAAAAAAAAATCCTCTTCATCAAGCTGCAGTCCTCCTGTGTGTTAGGAAATTCCCCAACTTACCCTGACCAGAGGGCGTCTAGCTCCAGGCTTAGGGTGCAGCACCTTGCCTGGGGGCCCAGAGTTACAGGAACCGAGTCCTGGAAGCTCCCGCCTGATGTGCACCTGGTGCGCCACCACCCAGGAGTGGTTCAGGCCTGGGATGCTGGTGGCTACCTGTTTCCCTGACACCCCCCGCCACCACCACCAGCTTTGCTTACCTTCACTCCTACTACTAGAAAGGAACACCTGTGAGGAGGGAATGGCAGGTAGTGGTTCCTCCACTAAAACTCCTGGTTCTTCTGGAGGAATTTATTTTTGTGGACCATCAGCCGCATAACCAAGAGTGCAACTGCCCAGCTCTTCTTAGAGAAGAGGTTATTGTTGTCCGTGATGGTGGTGGTGGTGGTGGTGCTTGTTGTTTTGTTGCTGTAGCTAAGCCCTGAACTAAGTCGGTCACTAATGGAAGTCCTTGTCTTCAAAAGGGCCAACTCTTCCTTTACCTTTTTACCTAGCCTGTGTTGGGAAGGACATGGATGGTTTGTTTTTTGCCAACATACTCCTAAGGAATATTTGTTGGGGCCTGTTTCGGGGGCGGGGGTGCAGAGACACGTGTGTGGGGGTGGTGTTTGGAAACAGTGGTGGGCTCCTTCTGCATGATACTGATGTTCTTCCCCAGTGGGTGTTCTGGCCTCCGGTTCAAGGAACCGCCCAACTCAAATCTGAAACCCGAGGTCGTCAAGCTCCCCAAAGCAGGCCTACTCCACCTGGAAAGATTTCTGCAGATTTCTTCCATTTTATCAACACTACGGGGGTACCGCCTTCATCTTGGGGTTCACAATACCCATCATGACACAAAATGAATATTATTATTTTCATAACTGTTGGTTTCTGAAGGCAGTCCACGCCCCAGGCCCACGTCCGGGAAAGACAAGAGGCCCACCCACTCCTGACCTTCAGGCCAGTACAGTTTAGAGACATTTCGCCCTCCCGCCGCCACTACCCTTAAAGTAGCAGCTACTGCGCCCGCCCCCACGAAGCGCCTTTCCAACGCCGGCCCTCAGCTTCCCTCCTGCAGCTCCCCGGAGCCCCAGACCAAGGCCGGGGCTTTGCTTTGCCAGCTCCCGCTTAGTAGGTGCCTCTGAGCGAGAAAGTCGCTTCCGCTCACATGTAAATGTCAGGTGCAGCAAATAAAGTGGGAGAAGGAAAACAAACAAGCCGACAAACCGCTGCGGAATAAAAGATCCCTTTTCCATCCGTTTTGCTTTGCAGATCAGGCTTAGCAGGAGAGGGTGGGGGAGCCAACCAGAGCTGGTTAAGCGCTTTGGAATCCACAAAGGCTGGTGGTGTCGGCAAGCGGCAAAGCGGGTGAAGAATTGAAGCAGTGAGCTGGATAAATCGGGGCAAAGCACTAAACTATCTAAATATTTTGGAGACGCGTGTACGTGTGGGTGGGTGCACAAAGGGCTCATCATCACTCGTATGATTGCCTCAATTCTCCACTTCCTTTGTGCGCGTTTGTGGACGCCGTTCCAGGCCCAAGTCAGCCTCCAGCGCAGCGCGCCCAGCGCCGGGTCAGCCAGGCGTCCGGGGGTCCCCAGCTCGCGCAGCTTCTACAGCCTGGAGGAGTCGGCACCGAGAAGGTCGACAAGGCGCAGGTGGCCAATTTTCTTCACCTCGCCCAGGGCGGTGCGCAGCTCCTGCGCTGGCTGGCAGTGCAGCCGGCGCTCCAGCTCTCTAGGCACCGCCGCCCGGTCGCTGAGACGCGCGGCGAGCACGAAGGGGAAGCCGAAGCGCGCGCGGTACTGCGCGTTGAGCTTCTCCAGCTGCTGCCGCTCTTCTGCGCTCAGGCTTGTCAAGCCCGCGCTGCTCTGTTCCCGCTGCGATTCGGCAGTGAGCGTGCCCCGCTGCTGCTCGCGACCCGCCAGGTCCGGGTGGCAGCGCAGGATGCCCTCCTGTCCTGAGGAGAGAAACAGACATTCGGTGGGAGCGTGTTACGGCGCCTGCTCCTCTCCAAGCAGCTGGGAGAAAGCGCAGCGCTTCTGGCTGCTGGCTCCGCGGGGTCGCCGCTTGCCGACCCAATCCAGCCCCCTACTCCGCCCCGCCCGGTAGGAGGCTGAGGGAGGGAAGACGGGTCCCGGGATAGTGGCGTCCTGGCGGGGCATGGGCACCCACTGCACCCTCCCTTCTCACAAGCCCCAGACCTCGCGACCCTCTGTCCTCGCAACATTCGGTCCCCACCGGGACCGGGGGCGGGGCGGGAGTGACAAGTTTGTCCTTTGAGACCTTGGGGCAAGTAGAGTGGAGGGTAGAAAGGGCGGCCGCGGAGGCTCGGAATTTACGACCTGCTTGGGAGAGAGCTGGGACGCGATAAGGAGCCGAGCATTTCGTATCTTTTCAAAGTCCTTTGCTCTCAGGGGGGCTTTGATGTTGAAAGGGGCCGGACGCAAGGGCCTGAAGACTTCCTGCAAAAGCCCTGGAATGAGTTTCGTTCTGCTCCAAAGGAGAACAGGCAGGGGCGGGGTGGATCCTTGGGATAATATCCATGGGGCTTGGCAAATAAATGCCCAAGATTTTGTGACCCTAAGTGTGAGTCCTGGGTTTCTGGAATCAAGCATCCAAAGCGCCTCGGAGATTAGCTGCAAAGAAACCCATTTCCAACCGGAATTCCACAGCCCTTTGAATGCAAGTGACTTTCCTCTTTTTAGGAAAATTACAGCCACCCACCATCCACTCTGCTAGGGATTTATTCCCCTTCTTCCACTGTAGATTCCTAAGAGTCTTCGGGAGTTCTCTTGGAATAAAGCTTCTCTTAATCTCTTAGGCCTGAAATTGGGAAACTCTGCTGTAATACCTGGAATCCCAATTCCTAACCTAGGCGTTTTCTCTGAGCCCTGGCTAATCTTTCCGCTTAGCACTCCAAAGAGAGAATTAGAATTCCTCTGTCTAAGCAAGATACAGTAAGCAGAGAGTGACTATCAGTTAAATTAGGGCAATGACACCTAACTTGCCGAGTTGTTGTGAGGATTAGAGACAATTCATTTACCCAAAGCACATGCCTAATGCCTAGTAAACATCAATAGTCATTATTATTACTTGTAGTAAACCCAGTGGAACTGGACCAAGGTACCACAGGAAGTCCCTGGCTCTTCCTATCTCAATAAAGCCATTGTCTGCCTTTGGCACTGGGAATAGGTATGCGGTTCTATTGGAAATGGGGACCATTTAATGCACCCTTTCATAAATTACATATCGAGAAAGCTGAGATTTTTTTAAAACTTTATTTATGATGTAGCCCCTTCTTTCTCAAACAGTATAGTATCTGCCCAATAAAAGCATGGTTAGGATTATGCTATCAAATCATGCACCAAAGTTTGGGGGGGTTAGAAAGAATTGAGGGGTGGATAATGTTTTAGTAAGAGTATTGGATGAAGGCTCAGAGGGGTTATGTGGCCTGTCTAATGTCACTCAGTGGACTGCACCTGGACCCTCACCCCAAATCCCAATCGTTTGGTTTTTTTAGGGGCCTGGTTGCCGAGCAAGGTTAAAGAGAGTTCAAAAGGAAACTCAACAATAATCCAACCTCTCTATCACCATTGCTTTCCAGCTCCTCCCATGGGTGCCCTGCCCCTTGGCCACTGCAAGCTGGATTAGTTCTCCTTTGCTCCCCGTGTCCAGCCTGGGCTGGCCGGATGGTGCGAAAATGTGGGTGTTAAATTCCCCACCCTGGGGGAGCTGCCCAACCCTGGGCCCGCGGTTGGCCGTGCCACGCCACGCGGCTCGGCGCCAGGATCCCCCCACCCATCCACCCTGTGCGACCACCCAGTCCCGGGACCAGCAAACCACCCTGGCTGCGCGGAAATTCGAGTTATGGAGCCTTTGCCAGGACCAGCAGGACACCTCCTCTTCACATACTGTTTCGAAGAAGTCGGTCCGTCCCCTCACCCAGTCAGGGGGCTCCAACTCCCCATCCCCCCATTTATTACTCTTTCCAGGACCAGCCCAAGTTTCGGGAAGTGGGTGGGGGTCTTTCCACCCATAGCCCCCTTGCACCTGATCCCCAGTGCACTCGGGGAGCAGCCGCAGGTGGCGGAGCAGCTCGGTCTCCCGAATGCTAGATCTGCCTCTTGCCCTTCTTGCCCTTGCACCTCGCTTCTCACTCCCCTCGGATTTATCTCCCATCTTGAAAGCATCGCCCTGGGGTTAATGTTTGCCTAGGACTGAGCATGTATTTTCTACTCTGGCCGGGAGGAAAGGAGAGAAGAGAAAGGGGACCGAGAAGAGGGCAGAGAAAAGGCAGATTAGATTGAAAAAAGAGGAACTGAAATGTACACAACACCAGCATGCAGGCGTGTGCATGTGTGTGTACACACACACACACACACACACACACACATCCTTTAGCTGCCTATAATAGAAAGAGGTGTTGGGAGGAGTCCCCAGGGGATGGTGAGCTACCCAAAAGAAATACAACCTGACCTGCTCCAAGACTCAACCTTCCTTGCCCCAAATCACTGAGCCCTCCTGTGCTGTAAAATTGTGTCCACCAGCTCATATAGGTTTGCAGCAAGAACCCTCCCTTCCTCACTCCAAAACCCCACCAATGTAGTATCCTAGAGTTACTCCAGCTATGACCATAAATCCCAGGGGAGGACTGGAGACTGTGGGCTGTCTCCAGTCCTGGGGGTTCCCCCACCTGGGATGCCCAGGTGCTCCTGGGCCATCCCGATGCCCTAATTGGTTCTAAGAACATCTTTAATGCTGCCTGTTCTTTTTTCCCCCCTGAATTTCTGGACTACTGATTGTGCTACTGGCTATCACTTCTAAAGATATAGGTGTGGATGTGTATTGCTGGAACTACAGGATGTGAATCTGCACATAGAAGAGTTCCTGGCATAACCTACCCTCTGTTCCCAGAGGAGAAGAAAGTGTGTGTGTGTTGGGTGCAAGGGTGGCCAGTGACCAGCAGACAATTGCTCAGAGTCCCATAGCAGTCCACATGCCTCCCTGAGTCTGTTCCCACTACTGTGTTCTCACTTTTTGGCATGAGATGATTTTCCCCTCTATCAAATACCAACCCCTCCATTTGTGTTCTTGAAGGCCCCAGGGCCCCCTTTCTTTCTCAGACTTTTGCTTCTGCGATTTCAGATATCCGTTGGTACACCCCCATCCTTTCCAAACATGCTTTAGAATGTTTCATCCCATAAACAAAACTGAAGTCTTCCTTTGATTCCCTTTGTCCTCTAAATTCTCCTTCCCCTTTTCCTCTCTTCAAAGGAGTTGTCTAGTGACCTACTTTCTCACTTCTCTTTCCAGATTCATTCTATCAAGCTTCCAGTCCCACCCCCAAACCAACCTGTATTCCTGAGGATCACAGAAGACAGACAGGCATCTTGCCCGAGCACAGAGCCTAATGCCCATCCTCTTCTTTCTCCTTAACATATCACATGGTCGACTCTCTCCTCACTTCTTTGATCCTGCTCTGCCAGCTCTACACTGAAGTACTCTAGGACTCAGGACTCAGTGCTTTCCTTCTCCATTTACCCACTAAGTGCTCTAATCCAGTCCTGTGGTTTTAAATACCATCAATTCTTTGGTGACACATAGATCTAGGTTAGCACCTAGCTTTCCATTGAATTTTTTGCTGTGTTCCAACTAAATACTTACCAGTTTCATTTGGATAGTTATTAGGCATCTCAGACTTAGCAAACTTCCTACTTCCATCTCTACTTCCCAATTCTAGGTCTTCAGCGCTTCAGAAAATAGCACCACCAACCACCCAGTTGTTCAGACTAAAACTTAGGAGTTATCCTTAATAGTCTTTGTTTCTGATCTTCCTCTCTGCCCATCAAATCCACTAAAAATAATCCTTTTGTCTCTAACATCTGTTCTAGAAATTCAGTGACATCTCTCCATCTTTACTACCCCAATCGTAGTCCAAGCAAGCCCATCTCTCACTTTACTCCTACAACAGTCCCTGGACCTGATCTCCCTGGACCTGATATGGTCCCCACACAACAACCATTTTAAAAGGTAAACCTGATGGTGTCTCACTACACATGGAGGAAACCAAACTCTTTACCTGAAAAGCTCTCCACAATCCGACCCTGTCTGATTCTTTCCCCTCACATCCCTCCACTCGTCACAACTCTCCAATCACTTTTGTCTTTCTGTGTCCCCGCAAATATCAAATTCACTCCAAACCCAGGTACCGTTTCCCATAGTAACCTCATTCTATGTCTTGACTGCTTCCTTTTTATCTTTTGGTTTTAAATTTAAATTCCACCTTCTAAGAATGACCTCCTTTATTTTCTACAACATACATATTTTCTTCTAATGATTTATTGAATCTGAAAGAATCACATTTATTTATGTTAATTCTGTCTTCATTAGAATATAAGACCATTGAAGGCACTGATCAGTGCCCATGATGGTGCATGAATCATACAGAAGGGGCGCTCAGAAAGCATTTATCAGCCAACATATCACTCTTGAGGAGGAGTATTATTTATTTATTTTTGGACTAAATAAACAAATGAACATATTTTGTGTGTTTTCAGGGTTGCTGGGGATTGAACTAGAGGTGCTCTATAGTTAATTTATTCCCCCAACAGCTCCCCCACTTTTTTTGAGACAAGGTCTCACTAAGTTGCCTGCTCTGACCTTGAACTCGAGATCCTCCTGCCTCAGCAGAGTAGCTGGGATTACAGGTATGTGCCTCGGTGCCTGGCCAAATGAACACATTTTAATAGCTTGATCTAAACCTCTTCTAGCCTGTATATAAGAGAAATCTTAGTATCTAATTGCTTCATTAATTTAACAAATCTATCCTCTGATAAGTATTAAGTTATGGCATTACTTAATTCTGAAACATCACATCATTGTGTAATTAAATCTTAGGAAAATTTTATTGCTTTTGGTGGGGGTGGGGAGGTTGCTAGAGATTGAATCCAGAGCCTTGTGGTTGCTAAACTCTACCACTGAGCTACATCCCAGCCCACTCTTTGATTTTTAACACCAATCAGTCCTGAATTGGCTCAAGTTGTGGGTGTGTTTCAACCTGCCTCCTTCTACTATAGCCATTCCTCTTGTTTGGGAAGCCTTTCCCTTCAAGGCTAGTTGAGGGAAACTGGCTAAAGAGGATGCTTTGTCAAGTAGGGCAGGAGCCAAACACTGATCCTGTACTGCCATCTACTGGCCAATCATCATTATCTCTAACCTAAATGGACTGCCAACTTTAGTTTACTGTAGAAATTGATTTTCAGTTGTCTGTCAATGGTATTCCTAGATCACCTAAAACAAATCATTGACCAGGTAAATTACCATATCCTATGCATCTCTCTAAGGTCTTTTCTAGTTTTCTACTACACCCAGTTTGTTCTTTACTATCCAAAGGCAAAAGCTAGACTATGCAATAAATCCCATTTTGATTTTTTTGACAAATAAATGTTGTATATATTATGGTGAAAAATTTGATGTTTGACATATGTATGCATTGTGAAATGCTGAAATCAAGTTATTTAACATATCCATTACCTCAAATACTTACTTTGTTTTCTTTTGGTTTTGTGGTCCTGGGGATGAAACCTGGGGCCTTAACGTGCTAGATAAGCACTCTACCACTGAGCTACATTTCCAGCCCACATACTTACCTTTTGATGTTAAAAACATTTAAAAATATATACTTTAGGCTGGGGGTGGTGGTGCATGTCTGTAATCCCAGCAGCTCGGGAGGCAGAGGCAGGAGGATCTCAAGTTCAAAGCCAGACTCAGCAATTTAGCAAGGTGCTAATCAACTCAGTAAGAACCTGTCTCTAATAAAATACAAAACAGGGCTAGGGATATGGCTCAGTTGTCGAGTGCCCCTAAATTCAATCCCCTCCTCCCCTGAAAATCTATAAGCTGGGGAGGTAGCTTTATGGTAGAGCACTTACCTTGCATGCATGAAGCCCTGGGTTCAAACCCCAGGACTATAATAAAATAAAGTCTGTGCTCTAACCAACTGTCAAGTAACAATAGATTATTATTCACTATAGTTGCCACACTGTGCAATAGATCGTTTTATTTGACTATTTGAACAACAAAACATGGAGTCTGAGAAACCAAGGATTAATGTGAATTGAATTAATTAGTGAATGAATAATAAATACCCTTAGATACTGTTTCTAGATTCTGTATCTGATTCACTGGAACTGGGTTAACTCCAGTTCTGCCTCTTTCTTCAAAAGCCACTGGGACGATTATGAGAGAGTTATTAGAATCCTAATTCTGCCACTTTCTAGCTGAGTGTCCTTATTCAAATTAATCTCTCTGTGTCTACCTCAGTTTTCTCATCTCTAAAATGGGACAACCAATTCTAATAGCACTACTTATTTTAAAGGATTATTACAGGGATTGAATCAGTTAACAAATACAAAGTGTCTGGAAAAGTACCTGGAATACACCAGTGGTAAAAGTTCAATAAATGCAGGCTATCTGTTATTATTATCACCATTGCTAACATTACTTATCTAATGTCATTAAGATGATTAGATACAGGCAGCCACCCGGACAGCATGGAGGCTCTGCTCCCAGCTGCCTCCCGGACACCAGGAGAGGGCTGAGAAGCAGGGAGTTCCCCTCAAAGAGCTATCTACTGTGGAAGCAAAGAACAGTCCAGTTGGCCCAAATTCCCTCCAGCTATTTTGTCCCTCTGACCCATACTAAAATCACCGAAGTTAAAACATGAGGGAAAGAGTTTATACTAGGATCCACCCTCTATCAACAGCACCTCAGGTATAGTTACGTTCATTTGTTGAGCACACTTCTATCAAATCTTAATATTCCACCCACTGAGTGCTCTAGAGTTCCAACACCAGCTGGAAGACAGGCTCCACCCCATCGGGAAGGATATTGAAACCTGCCTCAGGAGGGAGGTAGTACCCCAGCCTGCCCCACACCCCACAGAACCTCTGGTCAAACAGCTTGGGGTGAGTGTTGGTGGGAAAGAAGATAAAAAGGGGATATTTTCATTTTATTATCTAAGTTCCAAGTATAGAGTAATAAACTTCAAATGTTTGTTGAATAACTGGACAAATCAATGACTAATAAACTTGAGTCATCCTGTCTTTCTCTTTTAATATGTTCCCTCCTTGGCCCTGCCATTTTTGGGGGGTGTTAAGTCAAATCCTGGGATTTTCCTTCTCCTGATAGAAAATGTCATGAAAACCTTTTCAATGTGGTTTCCCCCTGAGGCTGAAGAGGTTTTCATTTTCCCTCCTTTATTTTCTGGTCAGGCGTTGTGAGCTTGGGCTCCCATAGTCCCCTGCTCCTTCCAGCTCACCTGGCAGGCTTTGAGCTGAGAAGCCAGAGTCACCTTGCTCAGTGTGGGTCAGAGGACTCCAAGTCTGTCAGTCCCCTTCACATCTGAGCCTGTGGCTGCCAGAACTTTGAAGAAACCCCAAGAAGTGGGTGAATATCAACACAGCCCCCACGTATCTGTCAGTTTGATTTTTATAACATCAGCCTCTGCTCTTCCTAGATGTGCCCCAAATGAACTTAACTGAGTTCCTCATTTTGGAGACTTTCATCTGACAACTGGAGGCCATGCAGATCTCAAAATTCTGTGGTCTCCTTCATGGGACAGAGGAGAGCTGCAGGTCTCATTCCCGGATCCAGGTGTCTATGGAAGGCCACTGTGTGAAGGTGGCCTTCGTCCCCTGTGGCATGTCAGGTTCTCCACAGGGTATGGAGCACCCTGGGCTGCTAACCCTCGGCCTCCGAATCCCTGCGCAGCTGGCCATCAGTCCCGCAGGCTGGCCTAAACCGCCACCCCTCTCCTCCCCCGTCCATAGCCAGGAACGCCTCAATTTTCTTTTTCTCCCCAGAAGAAACCAATAATTCATTTCCCTTTCTCCAGAAGGATTTCCTCAGTTTCTCCTCTTTTCCCCCTTACTCTTCTGGGGAGTCCCTGATCTGAATGAATTCTCTTTCCTCAGTAGTAACTTCCAAACTAGCCCTTTCTGGTAAAAATGTCAGCCACTTGCTCTTTCCCCTAGCCTCTGAGGTTTCCTGGTATCTGTTCTCACCTCTCTCACATACAGGACATTGCCACAGTGAACACTGTGTGGCCAAGTGGGGGTGGGCCCTCGGCCTGACCTTTGGCCTCTAAATCACTATGAGGCCTTTCACCCGGGTCCCCCTGGTGACCTCCATGTCTAATATTTAACAGTGACTCTACCTTAGCTCACGTAAGTTGTTTCAAGCCACTTTGGGCCTAACACCTTGCAAGTGCTCAGCTTCTTACTAAACCCAAGGACATTGATTAATTAAACCTAATAAAAAGAGCTAAATATAGCAAGTATAAGCAACTAGACTAAGATATCTATATGTCTACATCTATCTACCTATATATTTATTTATTTGGTATCGGGAATTGAACCTAGGGGTGCTTAGCCACTAAGCTACATCCCCATCCCTTTTTTATATTTTTATTTTGAGACAGGGTCTCACTAAATTTCCAAGGCTGGCTTTGAACTTGTGATCTTCCTGCCTCAACCTCCTGAGTTGCTGGGATTTCAGGCATGTACCACTGTGCTTGGCTTCTAAAAGATTAAAAAAATTTTTTTTTAAATTGTAGGTGGGCACAATACTATCTATCTATCTATCTATCTATCTATTTATCTGTTACTGGGGATTGAACCCAGGGGCACTTAACCATTGAGCCAGATCCCCAGCCTTTTTTCATGTTTTATTTAGAGACAGGGTCTCGCTGAGTTGCTTAGGGCCACGCTTGCTAAATTACTGAAGCTGGCTTTGAACTCACAATCCTCCTGCTTCAGCCTCCCAAGCCACTGAGATTACAGGAAATACATGCCTGGAAATACCTTTATTTTATTTATTTTTATGTGGATTGAACCCAGTGCCCCACACATGCTAGGCAAGCGCTCTCCCACTGAGCTACCAACCACAGCCCCTCTAAAAACATTTTGATAAGCTTATTTGAAATCCTTTTGTGTCTAATACTGAGTGCCAATACTGAAGCCTTACCTGACTGTGGAAGAGCATCTATAAAGGCAAAAAAATGCTTCTCTAAATCTTCCAAGTCAAAGAACGGACGCTGGGACCAGACAGCTGCTGCAATCAGAGGACATCTTTCAATGACATTTCCAAACACGTCCACAAATTCTCCAAAGTCCATGGAATTGACTTTCTCCATGTTCATCGCTTGTGTTCACCCGGAGGCAGCAAGATGCCCTGCTCCCCTCTTGGCGAGTGAGCTGACTGTTGCTCACTGGGCTATATTTGCTGAATGCACAAGCTTGTGTGTTTTTTTTTTTTTATTTTTTTTTTATGCAATACCAGTTTAGCATGTTCTAACTGCCTCTGGGAGAAGCAGGTCCAGAACACTTAAGTAATCATCAATAAACATGTGCTTAAGAGATTTTGTTTGTTTTATAGTGCTGGGAATTACCAGGGCTGTGTGCACGCTAAGCGGGTTCTCTATCACTGAGCTGTACCCCAACTCAGGCTTAAGGTTGTAATACCAGAGCAGAGATCTCTCTGTGGTGAATGTATCCAATTAAGACATTTCCATCGGGCTGGGTATGTGGCTCAAGTGGTAGTGCGCTCGCCTGGCATGCGTGTGGCCCGGGTTCGATCCTCAGCACCACATACAAAGATGTTGTGTCCGCCGAAAACTAAAAAATAAATATTTAGAAAAAAAAAAAAAAGACATTTCCAAAATCAAACTGAGTAGTGGCCATACTTCACCCTCAGTACTCAAGCCAGATAGACATGGTGTCATTAACATTTTAATGCTATTGTTATCCTGGGGAAGGTTTCCCTGACAATTCGGACAGGTCATAGGTCAATCCTCTTGGAACTTAGATTGGGAACACATCCCCATCTGTTATTGCTGCTGCTACAGAGGACAGGACCTACGGTTCACTTTTCCTCTGAATCCAAACACTTAACACAAGAGGTAATAAATGCACATGAAACAAGATGAGGTATCTCAGGAACAATTCTGTCCCAGTCTCTGTGCTCTCTTGAGCACCACTATGTGTTACTTTCTCCTTGAGTATATCCATTCTTTTGTGAAATCACCTTCATTATTGCATTTATTTGTTTGCATGTAATCTGTCAGCCCCAACTGACCATGAGGCTATAGACTATGTATCTTGAGTCTCTGTATCTTGGGAGCCTAAAACTGTGCCATAGGAGGATCACAGTGAACTCATTGTGGCATAAATTCACCAAGGGGTGAATTGAATGACTAATTGACCACACGAATTAGATTTCACACCCTATGCATGCACAACACAAAAATAACGTGAAAAGAATAACATGTTAATTGCAGTACTATTTATGATAGCAAAGTTATGGAATCAGCCTACCCAGATGAATGGATAGCCATCAACAGATGAATGGATGAAGAAAATGTCACACACACACACACACACACACACACACACACACACTGCAATACTAATCAGCCATGAAGAACAATATCAAACCATTTGAAGGAAAATGAATGGAGATCCTCATGTTCAGCAAAATAAGCCAAAGACAAGTATTGCATTTCATATGTGGAATCTGGAAGGAAAATTTTAAAAAGACATCGTGAAAGTAGGAAGAGGATGATTAGGGAAGGGGACCAGATCATAATAGGGAGGGTGGATATGATGAAAGCATGTTATACAAATGTATGGAAACATCACATCAAAACTTTTTTTTTTAACAGTTGATATGCACAAAAAATTATGATGTACATAAACATTGAGTATTACAAAAACAAACAAAGGCAGGGGTCAGAAATTTAAAAAAAGATTGCCAGTATTTCCCTTTGAACTAAAAATGCAAACATGTTTCCTAAAACCATGCCAGTTACACATTTACCTCCATGTGAATCACGATTCAGCATGAGAGCGGCAGCTTTAGGATTAATGAAGCAGTCTTTTCAGCTTACCCCGTGGTCTTCGAAGCAGGGGACCAGTGCTGGTGCAATCTGTCAACAGCCAAGGGTTTTGTCCCGCTTCTGTCTGTAGCCAGTTCCCCAGCTGCATCCGCACCCCAGGGATCTGGGCCACCCCAGAAATAAGCTAATGAAATTTGCTTTCCAAATGGGGTGAATCTGGTGACAGAAGTCCCACTGTTAGTGGACTTCGTTTCAAACATGGAACGACAAAGAATATTACACAGAGTGTCCCCAACATAACAAGATTCCACTTATGATTTTTCAACTTCACCATGGTGCAAACGTGTTACACATTCAGTAGGAACCATCCTCGGAATTTTGAATTTGGATCTTTCCCTGGCCAGCTCCTCCGGGTCTCGTCCTCTCTTGCTGTGCTGGGCAGTAGCAGTGACCTCAGCTCCCAGTCAGCCCTGGAGGGTTATAAGAGAAACTCTATAGTGTGCTTTGCTGCTGAGCCAGGATGTTCAGTAGGTTACAGGGATCATGTGCATTTTTTACTTATCTTTAATCTTAGATGGGCCCATCAGGATGTAACACCATAGTAAATTGAAGAGCATCTGTGTTATCATATACCTGTGTATTTGTGAAAAAATATTAAACCTCATACTGGCTATGCAGTTTTGGACAGCACTGCAGAGAATAAGGAGCTGGGCTCAGGAGCCAGAATTCCTAAGTTCTAATCCTGCCTCCACCACTTACCACTGAGCATGTGGCAAGTTACTGAACTTTTCTATACTTCAGTTCTTCATCTGTAAGTCGGAGTAATAATAGTATTTGCCTGAGGGGAAGCTTACAAAAATTTAAAAAAATTTAATTAAAAAGTGCTCAAAATGGTTCTCATCACGTAACACTACATCGTTATTGGCTAACACAACATCTCCTGTGTTCAGTCCTCCGTGGGAACAAACATTTTCTTTTTTTCCTTCTGCCATTAGGGAGTCACATCCCTATTTCCTTATCCATGTGGGTTTTGCCACAGACACCTCAACAGCTCAACCCCCATCTCTTCTCCTTCTCCCTCCAGCACATCAGCCTCCATTAGCTCTAGAGTTGACCTGTGTGGCATCTGCAATGTCAGATGGAGACCGGGCAAAGGGAAGGGACAGTCTGTGTAGGGGCTCCATAGTGTCCCTAGGGCCCCCTCTACTGGACTGCCAGGCAATCCCAGGCTTAGAGCACTTTCAGCCCTGGGGGCTGCAGTGGGAGAGGATGGCAGAGTGAGGGAGATGGGCCTTGGCAACCCATTGGCTGGGAACTGAGACCAGGCATAGTGAGACAGTGGTGGAGGGCGTCCCCAACACCTGCAGTCATCCATCCAGGTGGTGAGGAGGTGGGCAGGCATGGGGGCCAGAGAGGTCCCAGAGTTCATTATCTTCGAGTCTCTAACTAAGCAATTTAAGCTTCTTGAGTTTTGGCTTTGCCATCTGTTAAACTGCCACAGAACAAACAATTTGTTAAGTGAGACAGTCTTTAAGAAATCTTTAGTCTAGTTCTAGAATATAGTATGTTATCTATAAGTATTAATAAAAAATCATCTAAGCAAATCTTGAAGACATTAAGTGAAATAGTCAGTCACAAAAAATACTGTCTTACTCTAATTATTACTTAGAATAGTCAGAAAGGGAGGCTGGTAGGAGCAGTTGTAAAAGGTGATCCAAGACATCTTCCTGTAGCTGGCCAAGGCCCCAAGGCGTTTATCTTTCTCCTAAAAAAAATACCTTGGAGAGGGAAATGGGTTCTTCAGTTTTGATATGGGAAGCCAGTCCCAGCCCCCTGAAACCCTAAGCATGGCAGGTGCCCCAGTCTGTGGACCAGAACCCTGAGAGCCAGGTCCCAGAGAAGGATCTAACATGAGGATGCTTAGTGAGAGAAATCTGGTTAAGTAACGAACTTAAAATGCACTCATTGCCATAATCACCAAATGACTGAATCCTGAATGAATTGAAGTTATCTGCATAGAAGGTTGTTTTTCTTCATATCAACGGATTGATCTTAACTCTGCAGCTTAAAATTTGCCTTTCCAAAGGGCAGGGAGTACTAACGAAATGAGGCTAAGTTCTTGGGAATCGATTTTAAAACAGCGGTGCTAGGGCGCCACCTGCTGGTAGGATCACGGCAAGGCCGAAGTGGCTACCTTAGTAAACCTGCAATTCCTTCGGGAATGAGATTGATCAAAGTGGGTTGTGGGCAGGTGTACGAACATAGCACAATTAATCTCATTATTATATCTGATTATAATGCACAAATACAAATTTTAAAGATAAAATGTTTCTAACAAATAAAATGAGCTCTTGAAAATTGTGTTTTAAAAATGGGAAGTTAAGTCAGGGACACAAATTGATACAAACTAAAACTGAATCTGTGGTTTAATAAGATTCTAATTTCATTTTCCATTAAGAGGTTTTTAAGGACCGTCATTCTTCAGGAAATGTTGCCTCATAAATATCATGTTTGGCATGTTAAAAAGTACAGCATATACAAGTCATGTTAAAAAGTACAGTAATATAAAGAACACCTGTGAATCACCACCCAACCCAACCTCCCCCCCCAAAAAAAAAAAATTCAAGTGACATTAGTGTGAGAATGAATGGTAGTGTAATGGTAGTGGTAATTGTATGTTCAGAAATGAAGGAACTTCAGTTGCATGTTATATAGGTTGAGTTGCCCTCATCCAAAATACTGGAACCAGAATGGTTCAGATTTTGCACTTTTTAGATGTTGGAATACTTACATATCAAAATGAGGTAACTGGGGATGGGCCCCAAGTCTCAGCACAAAATTCATTTCTTTTACATACAACTTATACATGTAGCCTGAAGATAATTTGTTTTTTCTACTGAGGATTGAACCCAGCAGCACCTTACCACTGAGCTACATCCCCAGTCCTATTTATTTATTTAAATTCTGAGACAGGATCTCACTAAATTGCTGAGGGTCTCACTAAGTTGCTCAGGCTGACCTCAGAAACTTGTGCTCCTCCTGCCTCTGCCTCCCGAATTGCTGGGACTACAAGCATGAGCCACCACACCCAGCTCTGAAGGTAATTTTATACAATATATGCATCTGCGTTTTGGTTGCAACCACCTATCCACATGGGGTTAGGTGTGGAATTTTCCACTCGTGGAGTATCATGTTGGCTCAAAAATGTTTGGATTTTGTGCCGGGCATGGCAGCGCACACCTGTAATCCCAGTGGCAAGGGAGGCTGAGACAGGAGGATTGCGAGTTCAAAGCCAACCTCAGCAA